CAGGTATGGAAGTACCACTGGATTTCTGCTTCAGACAGCAAAATGCATTGGGGCAGCATGGTCCAAGGGGCTACACCCATAGAGAGAGCTTCAGTTGTCAGGTGAGAATCCATCACTGATAATCAGCTGATAACCCTGTGCATGTAAGTGCAGAAACATACACACACATCATTCTCATGATACCGCCTCCTTTTTCAGTTGGTTTATCCATCATCTCAACAACCAAGCCAGGAGACAAGATCCTGTCCCTGAGTTCACACAGGAAGGAACAGCCGGAGTGTAAGAAATCACACACAGGTAACAAGTTCCACATCTCACCATGCGGTTCTCTTTCCCCTATTCTTCTAGCAGTTTAGATGACTAATAAAGGTGCGGAGATGCGAAGGGATGCGTTACGAACTTCTCTGGATTTCAAAAAAAGCTGCTTACTCTCCAGTAGAACGAGTCATGAAGTAAGCATGCCAACTTCTCCTCCGTTTTATTGAAACCCTTTGGCTACCATCATCAAAGTCACGGCATACTTTGAGTAGCTATTTATTTAAAAGAGAGAAGTCTCAGTCCCATCTAACTTCCAGAATACAATAATCATTCTTCCAGTACAGAACGTAATGCTTATACTTAGATATATTTTTTAGGAAAATGGGAAGTGATCCCATCATACCAAGGCAAGTCAGTGATCCATTTAGCTCAGCATTCTCCTCTACTCCATAGCAGTGGCTGTCTTTTCTGGTCCTTCCTGGAGATTCCTGCCCTTCCCTGGTGGTCCCCCTTCTAAGTACTAATCAAGCATAACAACCCCACTTAGCTTCCAAAATCAGGTGAAATCAAATATGCTCGGGATAGTAAGGTTTGGTGGGTCCAGAGTGATTTATATTTCTAGCAGTCGAGCACATGAAATGACGACACGTCAACATTACAAAGTCTAATGAGAGAGGCACGTGTGTGTCTATCGCTCGACAAGGAGCAAAACACGGCTCAAGAGGAATGGGTTTCATCCTGAACACAATACCTATGGGAGAAAAGTTCTCATGGCAGTAACTTCTGTTCTACCAATATACTGACTTTGCATATAGAGGATCCATTAAGGCAGTGGTCCCCAGCCTTGGGCCTCCAGAAGTTCTTGGACTTCAACTCCCAGGAAATCCTGGCCAGCAGAAGTGGTGGTGAAGGCTTCTGGGAGTTGTAGTCCAAGAACATCTGGAGGCCCAAGGTTGGGGATCACTGCATTAAGGCATCCTTCTACATTTGTGTGATGGGAATTGGCATTCAGACTGAGACTCATGTGGACTAGAAACGGACAAATTGGGAAACACTGCATGAGCAGTGATGTAGTGGAGTTTGGGTCCCCCAGAATGTCCTAGGAATTTCTGAATAGCAGCCATGAGGATATCATCCATCACTCCCCTGAGCTTACCTGCAATCTTCATAGGACCTGAAGAGAGAAATTAGTTCTTCCAGGAGCAATATATAATTACACACTACCCATTTCCCAATGTAGGGTGTTGGAGGGTCATAGAAAATTAAGAGCCGTTTGCTTAACAAAACACCTGCTCCTGGTCAAGGGGAAAAAACGGCTAGATATAACTGCTAGGGGAAAAATGCTTGTTGATATAAACTAATCCAGTTGCCTATGTTTTTAAATTCTATTTGCAAGGGGCAGCTGTAGGGACCATCATGATGGGCACCTGCACTTCAATATATATATGTAACTAATAAACCAAAGGATAAGTATGCCGTAGAGTAGAAGGTCGTGCAGTGGTTGTTCAGCAGCCCTGCAATACTCAGGGTAACAGATCAGCAAGAACAGCTGGCATGCTTCACATGCCGAAAGTGATGGGTTCTGTCCACAGCACCCACATCTGTAGTCCAAGGGCTCTGCTCATAGCTGATGGGAATTTGCTCAAGTATAGAACCTGAAAAGTCACTGCCACTCCAAGTTAACTATACAAGGTGGGTAAGCTGGCTGAAATGGTCAAATGCAGCTTCCTATATAACTAACGCAGAGAGGATCTTAGGATGGAAATGTGCCCTGCATGGTTCTACCACTGAATTCCCCCAGCCTGGTATTGTCTGTAGTACGTCTGACTAGGAAACTCTCTCCAAGATCTGCTACCAAACTCTTTTAACTGGTAATGTCAGGACCTGAACACAGGACCTTCCACATGCAAAGCATGTGCTCTGCTCAGCATTGATGCCCCTCCCTCTATTTTCAGACAGCTGTTTCTCTCTCTCTCTCTCTCTCTCTCACACACACACACACACACACACACACACGCACACACACACACACACACACACACATACCTGTTGAGAAAAAAAAACCTTGGGGAAAGCAGCTCCAAGCAAGGGCCTCCTTAGCAGCTAAGCCTTACATCACAATGACCTGGTTTGGTGGAACTGCAGCCCTCCAGATATTCCTAGACTACAACTCCCATTATCCCTGGCCACAGGTCATGCTGACTGGGGCTAATGGGAAATGCAGCCCAACCACATCTGCTGGATCACTGATCTGAGATCAAAACGATCTACTAATTGCAATAACGCAAGGAGTGGGAATGGGCAGGAACACATTTTTGAATTTTGTTTCTTACTCTAAAAGACAAATTTGCTCTTCTCATTAAAAAAAACACTAATGCATCTGGCAGAAATCCCATCCTACTTTTCCTTTAAAAAAAAAAACCGATTCTCACCTCCTTCAACTGCAGACCTGTAATGCAGCTGCAGTGACACTAGCTCTGGCAGGAAGATTCCCACTCGCTACACTTCCGTCTAAGGAGCTTAGCAACCAGAAAATAAACGACAGTGTAGAAATGCAATTATACTAATGGAATGTGAACATTGTTGTGGGAAATTCATTTCAAGAGCCATATACACTAATCCTAAAAATGTATGCCTGACGCCATCACTAAAGCTCAGCCATGCTTTGCTAAAAATCATTCTAAGGAAATCCATTCCCGGGAGATAAAAAAGAGGAAACCTGCCAAGGAGCTCTTGGTGCAAAGCCACGTGGAATCTATAGTATATCAGTGGGCAACCATACCTGATCGCCTGTGGTGAATCAGAATCACTCCCAAGTGACCAAGCAGGTAAGTCCCAACGAACTGGAAGCAACCTTGTGTCCCAGTTTCTAAGCAAAGACATGGCACAGTTCACATGTATGTGCGAGCAAGTTTTTTTTTTGGGGGGGGGGATAAAATTCACGTAAACCAGGCAGGAATCTCCTAAACTGCAGCCTTTCTGTGCTTCTTGACAGCAAAAAGCTCTCTCTTCTAAACTTCCTGAAAGAAAAATCTCCAACCCCTCGGAGAGCCTGGTGGCATGAAAATGCCTCATACGCAGAGGAAGGCAATGCCTTCTGTCAGCGAATGTTCTAAAGACTTCAGGGTTTTTGCTTGCTTGCCCTTCGGGAGGTCATTTTCCAAAATGATTAGCATTTTCATAAGATGGCAGCGGGCACTTCTGGCTTCCCCTGGCTTTCCCTGCGCCATCCTGACATGGGATTCTTCTTTCGAAAAGCCTTCCTTTGCCAGAGAGGCTGCTCACAGCCAGGCCGGCACTTAAACCATCACCAAATGCAGAGGCAAAGGTGGGACATCCCGTCCCCATTCCGTGAAGCCCAAGGCATCGCTGTGAAGGATTTCCCAGCCAGCTACCCACCCCATTTTCCACTGCAAGAGCAAGAAACGTCTCTTTTATCAGAAACTGCATCACGACGTAATCAGAATTGCCTCACAAAGATCCCACCCACCTCTCCAAAGGAAACCCAATCTGGAACTTCCTAAGAGAAGCCGGAATCTCTCCTTCACACCCACAGGAAAAAACCCAGCGAAAACGCTCCGAGTTGCTATTTAACAAGCCCTGCTTGGATTTCGGCAAACCAGGTGGGATTTGTTGGTGATTAACCGCGGGAACCAGAAATGTCCTTTTTCTTTTTTTAGCACTCCAACCCACACATCTCAGAATCCTCGCTTTGCCCCGGAGAGAGAATATACTGGGCAGAATATACTTACTAACATAAGAATATGAGTGGCAAAAATTCACATTCATGTAGGATTGAGCTGGGATCTCAAACCTTCACAAACACACACACCAGTCATACAGAGAGTTTTCTACAGCATGGTTTTAAAAGACAGCTTACTTTTTAAAATAAACAGTCAGGTCGTAGGTATCATCAGAACAGTATCACAGATGCTAGTGGCACAGCCACAGTGGGTGAGCCTGGCGCGAGTTGCGCGCTCCAGTAAAACCGGCTTGGCCAAGCAACTTCAGCATGGACCCCCCATCTGCCTAGCTCAGGACACACACACCCCCATCGTGGACTGGGGATGGCGCGCAGGGGCTGGCCGGACGCATCTCCGCCCGGGATCCTGCAACAGCTCCGGCGGGAGGCATGGCATAAACCAGAGGCAGCCAAAGAAGGGGCTCGAGGTGCCCAGGGCAGGAAAAGGCGCACAGCATCGCAGGGAAAGTCTGCAGAAGGACTTCTCCAAGTCCCCTGCCCTCGCCGCGCCGCAGCCTCGTTCTTGGAAAGGGGTTTTTCGTCCCCCCCCCCCACGCAGGAAAAAAACAGGCGGCGTCGGGAAAATCCCCTGCCATGGCTTGGGGAGGTGGGGGGGCTCCCTCCGGGAAGCGCGCGGCGTTTTAATCCGGAGATCTATAGTGGAAGTTTGGGGGCTGTTGGAGGTGTGTTTTTTTTTCCCACCCTCTGTCCAACAGCTTTGGAGAAAATTGCCTTCCACTAAGAGAGTGTGTATGTGTGGGGTGCGATCG